CTCAAGCAGATCCCGGGACATCATTCTCCTGCTGTACTCGGCCTTGGTGAGGCTGCAGCTGGAGTACTGCGTCCAGTTTTGGGCTCTGCAATTCAAAAAGGATGTGGAAAAGCTTGAGAGAGTCCAGAGGACAGCCACACACATAATCAGAGGTCAGGAAAACAGGCCTTATGATGAGAGGCTGAGAGTAATGGGGTTATTCAGCCCGGACAAGCGCAGGCTCAGGGGTGATCTGGTGGCCACCTGTAAGTTTATCAGGGGTGCTCATCAGGATCTGGGGGAACGAGTGTTCACCAGAGCGCCCCAAAGGATGACAAGATCGAACAGTCACAAACTGCACTGTGACCGGTTCAGGCTGGACATAAGAAAAAACTTCTTCGCTGTCTGAACCCCCAAGGTTTGGAACAGACTGCCACCTGAGGCGGTTCAAGCGCCCACTTTGAACGCCTTCAAAACACATCTGGATGTTTATCTTGCTGGGATCCTACGATCCCTGCTGATTTCCTGCCCCTGGGGTAGGGGGCTGGACTCGATGATCCTCTGGGGTCCCTTCCAGCCCAAATGTCTATGAAATCTATGAAATTATCCAATGGTAAAACCCATGCACAGATTGCAAACAATGAAGGGAATCCAAGTCTACCCCTCTCCCTCTCCTAGCCTAATAAGTCAGAAAGAAGCTAAGATAACAAAATCAGATGACTGACACTAGAATGCTATTTGGATCTTAAATAAGCCAGTCACAAGGTCTAACAAAACAGGAATGATATATTTGTTAAACCTCCTACATGTAGACTGGTCAGAAATTCAACTGTGCCATTTTGAAGAGCCACAGACACATACAGTAATTCAGTCAGAGGACTGTGAAATCAGAAAAGAATGCTAAACAATAAAGCTAGAGGAATACTTTAGGCCTCTTGCCTCTAATTTTATGAGAAATTCAGCACAAGCTAAGCTACTGGAAAAGGGCAATATATGGGCATGTAAAATATGGGGAAGGTGGATAATCGAAGGGCACTGGAAAAGGATATAGATAATACATAAGAAAAAATAAATTATTAACATGTACCTAGAATAGGAAGCCTGAAGAGAAACACTGAATGTTCTGGGCATTAGGGAACAAATAAGTAAGAAGACAAGACAGTATAGAGAACTAATATATACATTCACTTAGTCTTCACCACACAGGATGTTAAGTAGATACCAATAACAACATAACAAAGAAAATGACTCTCTCAGTAAAGATTCTGAAAGATAGTGTATATTATACCTATTATTAAGCATAGCCTGTGAAATTGCATTTTTGATAAAATCCTTCATAATGAAAATGTTATAATGGAGGTGAAACATAATGTATTATCATGGCATATAAGATGCCTAAGAAACATATATAGGCTAGGGACAGAAGTTACACATAATTAATCATCAGAAACTAGTTTAAATCTGTAACAGAACAGAAGTTCAGTGCATATAAACCAGTTTCAAAATGGCTGAAACTGGTTCAAGATAAACTTGGGTGTATGTAGCATCAGACTTAACTGATTTAGGTCAAAGTGGTTTATGAAACTTCTGTCCCAGACCCCTTCCTGGCTCAAGTTAAATCAGAGTCCTCCAGCATCCCAGCATGCTTTGTGGTCCTGGGCTGGGCTATCTAATCCAGAGAGCAGGGCTAGTGCCACCCCTCTGCTCCCTAGCTGGAGCAGTGAGGGCTGGTTCACTGGCTGCCCCAGGCAAACCCTGGCTGGGGTCTGGGGCCAGGGAGGGGAGTTAAACTCACCCCCCCCCCCCAAGTACAGAGCTGCCCTGCCCCATTGGCTTACTTAGTGCTGGGTGTAACTGTGGATTACAAATTCCAGAAACACCAGGAAGAGGAAGTGATGCACAACTCTGTAACGTCCTGCTGCTGTGATTGTGGACTACAAATCCCAGAGACCTCAGGGCAGTAGGAAGAGGAAGCAAACACAGCCCATGCTGGCTATGTGCCAGAGAGCTGTCCTCTAGCAACCCTGGCTTCTGGCTTGAGACACTGGAGGCATGTGGCTGCATTTCCTAAATCAAAAGTAAATGTCTGTTCATTTGCTTATGGGTTCAATCTTCACACCTTAAACTAACCAGCAAAGACTAAACCAATTTGGCCTTGGGTTTTTTGACTGTCTGTACTTAGCCAAAAAGAACAGATCAGAAAAGGTCAATTTTGTACAATCAAAAAACCAAATAGTATCTCTCTAACATCTACACTAGGACCAAAGTTCTTTATTATAAGGATAATGGATTGGGAAGACGAGCTGAAATTATTTAGGTTAGCCCAAACTTGACAAAAAAAATCAGAAGAATTTGTATGGGTGAATAGACAAAATGACAGTAGAAAAAATTCTGTTGAAAACCATAAGGTAAAATCCGCTTGAAGAAATAATTTGAATGATTTACACAGGTTGTTGAGCCCTAAATCAACTGCAGTTATTCAAGTAAATGAACAGGACACTAGCTGTCTTGTTTACACCAAAAATATTTTTCCTCGCCTTGCCCTCTATTGCTGATGTTCTCCAGTATTTTAATCATTTTATAATACACGTCTTTTCTGGGCCAGATAAGATAACACAGTGCTTAAAAATGATGGCAACACTCTGGAACCCACATATGGAAATGCTCATAATACTGGTACCACCAAGGGGTGCAGCTGGGAAATTTCAAATGTCCTTTTCTTAAATACCAGAAGGAGAAAAATAAAAAATAAAAAAAAGAAAGAAAAACAAGTCAGTATTAACCAGATATCTTTGCTGAATACCCAGCTAATGTAAAAAATGGAAACAAACTGTTGAGAAGTATAAGGCTAGCAACAGAAAATATTACATTTATGTAAAACCAACTAATTTCATGTCCTTACCTTGCATACATGGAATTAAAAATAAATACAATTAACTTACAAAATTCACTCAACTAAACATTAAGGAGATTGAAAAGTTAACAGGTTTCAAACAAGAATTAGACATTCATCAGAATATCCACAATTATATTAGATAGAAAAAGAACTGTAATGGCTACAACCCCTGATGCTTCATAATACAAGTCAACTATTAGGTGATGAGGTTAAGGGAAAAGTTCCTCTTTGGGCAGGTTATTCCAGAACTGTCTGTTATAGGATGTTTTGAACCTGTACCTGAAATATTTACAACTGATCTTCTCAGAGAGAAAATATTTGACTAGATGGATCAGAACTCTTATAGCAATTTATACTACTGTTCTATATTGTAAACCAGAGAATATTGGCCATGCAGTAGTATAATATATGATAAACAATGCTATGCGTAAAATCTCTAGTCTCATATCTACTCTACTGTACCCACTTAAAACAGTGAGAAAGATAATAAGTTGAAAACTGAAACAAGCCATTTGCTAAATAAAGAAGTTTCCATAGCTACAGGAAAATAGAAGAGTTGGGCAATCCTGTTTACTCAAATATGTAAGGTTAACAAATGAATCTGAGATTAACAACAAAAAACTTGCATTACCAATGGAGGCAAAACGCATTTGTTTCATGTGATCTTCTATGACAGAAGGGTCTTTGGAGCTGTAAGTTCCAAGTTCAGGGTAAAAACTGGATCCAATATCATCAGGAGGACTGTGTCTTCCCTTTGGATAGTTGTTTGCAATTTTGGGATCCCAGTGTGGCAACAGAGGATGGTTCCAATGAATATATTTACCATCAAACTGTGGATTCCCATACCAGCTGTAGTAGAATACATGAAAGTTATAATTAGGAGAAGGCAATTCCTCTTCAAGCTTTCTTTCAGAAGCCATAGATGCTTTCATATTATTAACTGCAATACTGTGCAAAACATTGGTGTGCATTATGTTATCTCCCTTGGCATCATTTTGTGGATTTTGCTTATTTTCTAAGAGTGTTGTCCGTTGTTGAAGGTCTGGTAAAAGACCAAGTCCAAATGGATCCCCAAAACCAGCTCTGTCAGGTCTGAGAGTCTTCAAGGCCATCATTATGGAGCAAATAAATAAAATAAAAAGTAACAGAATGACGCATGTTCTTCTGCGAAATCTTGCCATGATGTCATAGTTTAGTGTCCAAAAACAGGTTTTGAGCTGCAATTAGTTAACAGAAATATATTTTAAATATTTATTATCTACAATTTAGCAATATTACATCTTTTCATTCAAAAAATAATCTGCTAATGTACAGCTTTCTGTGAGAGAATATTTCAGCTAGTTCCCAGAAGTGAGAAAGCTTAGGTGTCTAAAATTTATAATGTCAAAGTATTTGGACAGTGTATCCCTAAATATATAAAGGGAAGCAATTTGCTGAAAACTAATAAGCAAATCAAATAGGTGAAACTGAGTTCTAAATCTAACATTGCTGGCACCAATTCCTGTGCCAGGCTCATAACTTCTTTCTCCAGATTTTAAAATTTTGGCAAGATACAATGTTTGGAGTCCAAAGGCCTTCTTTCAACAGATTATTTCATGAGAATTTAAACTTTCAATTTGATTTCCACTATTCTACTTTCCTCCCTGACAGATGTACTCTAATGTCCTTGCCAATCTATATATTACTTCAGTTTGAGGGCATTAATGATACAGATTTTTACTGTTTGAGAATTATTTGATTTGTGTACATTGACTTGGTTCATCTAAATCCAATGCCTTTGTTTCTTTCAACTTAACTCAGCTGCTACAGGCTTTCAGCAAACAATGTATGGGTTTGCAAGTGATTAATTGCTTCTGCAATTATTGCTTTATCCCTTGTCTGCTGTGTAAAGGGATCTCATGTCCTCAGTGATTATGGACTATATTTAGAATGCACATCAAGTCTGTTAGTTGGGCTCTGCTATTCTGTACCGAAAAATTGCTCCTTTTTATTCTTAACTTGACATTCTATCCATCAAGGTTCTTCTATATACCGTTACTGTACCAAGATTTCCCTTTTTTAATTCATTTTTTCCTGAGAACATTAACAGTGTGTCCATATGTTCCTTGTTATAGTTTAAAAGAAATATGTTTCCAGTGCTGTGTAGTATACTAGTGGTAGCTGCGGAGGGAGGGGGTAGAGGCAAGTAATATACATACAAGTCTGATTTCATTTACTAGTTTTGGCATATTTGTCATACGATGTTTCTTTTAACTATTACAGCAAATTTTGTACCCATTAACATGGTTGCGCTCATTGCTGTCAAGTTTTAATTGTTAGGCTGAGGTGCCTTCCACAATGTAAAATGGGTGGGTCTAACAGTCAGTTTTTTATCCCAACACTACACTGTAATTTGCCACTTTTCCAGCTCCATTGGTGGCAGCACTAGTTTAGAAGCTGGTTCCTGCTAGTATACCAATTACTACTCTATCCAATCCTGATCTAATGATAATAGCACTGGACAAACAAAGGTCCTGGACAGACATAACACTTCATGAGCATCAAACGCCTCTGAAGCACTTGAAAGGGAGAGCAGATTAACGTTCTCCAAAGTGTTCCAAAAATAATTCTGGAAGAACCAACTACTATTTGGAAGCACTGCAAAAAGAAGTGCTTTGTGTTAAGTGTGTCTGGTCTTCAGAGCATGATGGGGGTTGTCAAGTCTTCCTGCATCTTCCAATAGTGCCCCACAGTTGGGGGTGGAGGAAGCAGGAGAGCAAGTCAGACAATCAATGAGCACTCTGCTATGTTCTCAGCAGTCCTAGGGGCTGGAAAACAGGTATCTTTGAAGGTCTATCAAAGTCCAGTCCCCCAATTCTGGTAGGGGGAGGGAAAAACAGGGCCTTTGGTCTCCCAGTTCTGGCTGGGGCAGTTAGTGAGTGTTTGACTTTCCCTGGCAATCTGTGGGGGCAGAGACCAGTGCAAGGAATTGTTCTCTCCAGCTACAGAACTAGGACACTGGGGGGTGAGTACACAACAGAGTCCTTCTTGGCTGTTTGCCCTGCCACAGGGCTCAGCAACCCCTTCCTAATGCTTCCTAACCGGAAAGGATACCATTGCCTGCTGTCAAAATGATTTTAAAACACTCCAGCTAGGGAACTGCCAGGTGGAGGTGTGGGGGGGTTGGAGGGGGAGGGAGAACTGTGGGGGCAAGAGGAGGGAGAAGGGCAGCTGTCCATCTATCTATAGCTAAAGTGGACAGTATTCTGAAGCACTTTGAAAAAAGTTATGGTATGTTCAGGGCCAGTTTGTCTATACTAGGAGCTCTATCACTGTGGTTACTCTAAAGGGTGTAGGTCACATATTCATTTGCAATGGTTGCAAATCACTGGAATGTTGTGAAGTATTAAAATGTAGTACAGTTCAGGGCAGATACAGGCTCATCATGCACTGATTGTGCTGCAAGAATTCCTCAGTATGGCAAGTATTCCTCAGTATTTCCTCACTATGGCAAGTATTCCTACTTTGCCATAGTGGCACACTCCTGTTTTAGTGCACCGCTATGGCAAAGTAGCAGCACAATCTAACCATGCCCTGAGTGCATGACACAGCATGGGCTGTTACTATGCCATGCTTTAGTACTCCCAAAAGGAAGTACTAAAGCACAGCACCATAGCAATGTCACCATATGGCAACGTGTAGATACACCCAAAGTGTTTCAGGTCTGTTGATCTTTATTTCCTCCTGCTATAAATAGATATCCTGAAACTTCTCACACCACAAAACCAAAAAGGTCAGAATAGCATGAGATGTTCAGGAACACAAATAGTAGCTACGTTTGTTAGCAGAGTTCTACCTCTTTTTCCGAATCTTAAGTCTCAGTACCATATGGAGTTTTATATAGGCCATTTATTGTTCTACCTGCTTCTTAGCCCAAACCTTTGTCTGCTTCAGTAGTCCTCAACCTTTCTGAACTGGAAGCACCATAACTTTTGTGGACTGAATGGCACCCAATTTGAAAAGCTACTGTATTTACTCAATTAGCAGACATAGTCCCCACCCCTCCCCTATATTTAACATGGAGGGGAAAAAAATCTCCTTGCCTTACAATTGAGCACGAGGCTGTGAGGAAACAGGCAGCTGCTGTAGCTCCAGCCTCAATACGGGGTTAGGGTTGGAGCCAGAGCTGCTGCCTGCCCCCCACTCCCCTCTGCCACGGCCTCTATATGCCCTGCCACTGCTCCTGCATAGCCCCCTAGTCCCCCCCCCCCCGACACTTCTTTTCTCTCCCCACTCTGCCACACTCCTCCTTACCTTTGCTCTATGCCAGCAGGCTCTATTCTTGCTGCAGCCTGGAGCAGCCCAGGCCCTTAGCAGCATCACAGAGCTGATGCTATTGCTGTGGGGCTGGGCTGGAACAGTAGTGCTAGTTCCATGATGCTGTTACAGGGCTGGATTAGAGCCATGCTCCATGTCTCAGGCTACAGCAAGGATGGGGCCTGCCAGCGTGGAGCCAATTACAAGCGGGGGTAGGGTGATCCAAGGCAGCAGGTAGCAGAAACAGCATGGAGTGGAGGAGTGGGAAACAGGGGAAGGAGGGATTGGAGCAACCCGAGGCAAGCTGCCTGAAGCCTACCACTTGACCCCCACCCGCTGCCCCATTACTGCACCCCCACCTGCCCTACAACTTGCCCCCCCAAGTGTCTCTCACACTGTCCATCCCACCACCGGCCCCATTAGTGCCACCCTCATCATCTCCCCCCCTCCCCTGCAGTAGTGGGGGGCAAATTTAAGATAATCCTCCAATGACTAGATTTCACACATGAAAAATTAAAATTATTTATAAACTTTCTGTGTGTAGAATCTAATTATTGGTGGGGGATGGTCATCTTACATTTAGGGTCATCCTGCATTCAGGTAAATATGGTAAATACAAGAAGATAAGTACAGGTTTCCCTCGATTTATACGGTATGTGAGTTCCTGGAGAACACCACATAAATCAAATTTGCATAAAGCAAACCCACTTTATAATGTAAGAAATAGGGATAGGTTCCCATGTCAGCTGCTCCTGTGGCCGCTCCAGCACGGGCTGGGGTGAGTGCTGACAAGTGGAGCCCCGGACAGCGTGGGTCGCGGCACTCAACCCAGCCCCGGCGGCAGCAGCCCCAGGAGCTGCTAGTGGCAGCTGCCTGCAGCCACAGGGCTGCAATGTGCCCTGAACCCCCCAGGGCTCTGCCTGTCTCCACTCATCCCAGCTGCTGCTGCACTGGCCCAGGAACAGGTGATGCCAGCTCCCTGTAGCCACTGGGCTGCACTGTGCCCTGGTGCAGGCAGCTAGCACCGGCAGCTAGGGCTGGGGTGAGTGTCAAGCAGCCAGGGCTGGGGCAAGTGCTGCGCCCCACACAGCCCAGGCCTCCACTTGTCTGCACTCACCCCTGCCCGTAATGGAATGGCCCTGGGAGCAGCTGACACCAGGGCTGCAGGGAGCTGGCATTGCCCACTCCTGGAGCAGTGCAGCAGGAGCTGGGGTAAGTGGGGACAAGCAGAGCCCCGGGGGGTTCAGGGCTCAGTACAGCCCAGCGGCTGCAGGCAGCCGGTGCCTCCCAGGGCCGCTGCAGCCAGGGCTGGGGTGAGTGGGTCCATGGCCCTTCCCCCCCGGCCCCCAAACAGACTTACCTGCTTGGGCAGGGTGGCATCTATGCTGATTACATAAGAGCAAATTCACATACTAAAGAACCCACATAAAAATCGAGGGAAATCTGTACTGTCATCTGCAAGAGGGGCTGGGCCTTGCCTTGGCAGTGGGGGATTGTCCAGGCAGGGAAAAGCCTGAGCTTGCTCTTATCTGCTTTGTTTCACTGCTGATCACCTTACCTCCTCACACCTCACAGCACCCTTCAACAGATCTGGTGGCACCTCAGGGAACCCCAGCACCCTGACTGAGAATTACTGTTCTACTTTTTCCCCCAGACCTGAGGAAGAGCACCTTGTGCACAAAAAGCTTGTCTAACAAAGTGGTTCCCAAACCTTTTAGGCTGTGGACTGGGAAACTGCAGTCAGGAAGTGACCAGAATACTGTGGAGCAGCAGCCAACCCTTTTTTTATATTAAGTATAAAAAGTACTAACTATAAAAAAAAAAAAAAAAAAGTGTCAGCTGCCGCTCCGCAGTACGCTGGTCACTACTGAACTTCCAGTCTGGCAGCCAACCCTCCTGCAGACCAGCAGCCAACCCCTTACAGCCCGGTACCTGGGGTTAGAACCTCTGGTCCAGCATGTCTTCCAAATAAAATCCTTGCCCCTCACCTATTTTCTGGCCGGCTGCAGGCAGAACAGTACCCAGCACGAAACGCAAGTGTATCACTCCTCACTGAACCGATCGCATCACGTGGCCAGTGTGTCATCACCCCCAGCTTTCAAAAACAAAAACGTAAGTGATGACAACTGGGATACAGCAGCAAGACTGATCTCCGGGGCCCCAACAGGTGTCACTCTGTGCGACTGAAAAAATCATAACCATTAAAAAAAAGCGCTTAAGTCCTAGCGGGCGCCGCCAGCCCAGGGGCGGACCCATCCAGCATCCCCTTCTTGGTCCCTACTGGAGACGCGTGTTATGAACAGGCAGGCAGCGCCCGGCGGGCTAAGGCGTCCCCGCAAGAGCCACGAGCGGGTCCTAAGGCGCTGACAGGCGCCCTCCTCCCCGCACCGGCTCGGGACGCGCCACAAGGGAGACGTCGCAGCCCCGGCCCCTCAGGGAACCGGGAGTGGGGCGGGCGGGCCGGGCACGCCCGTGGCCGGGGCAGCCGTTACTTACCGTCCGGGCCGGGAGGGGGAGGGGCGCGCAGCTGTTGGGGACTGCAAAGTCGCGGTTGGAAGCGGGGCTGGAAAATAAAGAGCCGAGCTGGGCCCTGCCAATGAGCATGCGCGGAAGCAGTGCGCAGACGCAGCAGCGGCCACTGAAGCCACCCCCTTGCTCCTGGAGCCTCGTTTCCACTGGGGGTGGGGATTGTCTTGTCCCGGCCCCGCTGAGTCGGCTGTGATGCCGCGCTTTGTTTTAACCCTTTAAGTGCAGCGGGCCCCGCGGCATAGGCGTGCGACGCCTCGAGGATTTACTGCTTGCTCTTCGTCAGCGCTGGGGCTGTTGCCTAGATGGGCGATGATGAAGGTACCGGGGAGGTGTCGTGTGGGGAAAGCAGGTGCTTGAGCAGCTCAGCGGAGTCTCGAGCCTCTGGGCTGCAGGAGCTATGCAAGGGAGGCGTGAGGAAGAAGGAAGTCACCCCCCACTCGTGCCCCCTTCATTTTCCTCACTTAGCTCTTACCCCAAGGCTGCTCAGCTTCTTCCTGACTGCAAAAAGCCTAGCCTCCAGCCCCATTTAGATCTGCAAATCTTAAGCCACCCAGAGGTGTGGGGCACCTACAGCTAAAAAACACCTTCTAGGCTGCAGAGCTGCCCCTTCCACTTTTTGTGTTGATTCATTTGGTTGAGACGTCAGAGATATTTTATGGGGAAAGAAATGAATCAGCCAAATTTAGATCACGTGAACTATCTGCCTTGGGCTGAAGAGGTAAAAACCTGCTCTGTGCTCCACGCCTCACTTCCCTACTCTTATCCTTTCATGCATTGATTTGAGGTCCTTGAGAAATGCCTTCCTGGGGGATAAGGATCCGTGCTCTTTCAACACTACAGCAACGTGCAAATCCTATGTATGGCATAGCTTGAAATGAATGCATTAGGAGAGTCTGTAAATATCCATCTAAACTAGTCTCCCCTTGTGCGGAGTGTTCGTGTGATGGAAAATTAATTCAGGATTACCAAAACACTGTGTACATACTCTTGGCAGGTTGACAGACAGCCAAAATGTAAGGTGTTTGTTTAAGCATGAAAATGGGTTATTAATAAAGAAATGGGTTATTAATAAAGAAGTCATATATTTCAACTGGTCAAAAAAAGATAACTAAATATGTACTGCTAGTTTAAGCTACCATTTGATCTCCTTAGCACTTAGTGTTTGTATGTCCAGCTGTAGGTAATTGTGATGTTTCTTATGAAAAAGAAAGTGGAGAGCTGAATATTAGTCCTTTGTCCTAACCGAGCTCTCAAATAGACGTGTTTCTGCAATGCTGCATGGATGCTTTAAAATTCCATCGTGGATTGCTGGATGTCATTTAGCCAGGGAAAAACCTGTCCCATGGCAATTGCGTGGAACAGAGCCTGTCACTTAAATCCATGAACTGTGTAATAAGCTACAAAGAAGAATGTGGCACTTTTGAGTTTGTGAAATACCTTATGTGCTTTAGTTCCACATCCTCAGTTTCTTATTCATTTGTTCAAGAAATCTGAAAAAATCTTTTCTGTTGAAAGAGATTGGTACTTTCACATTTAGGTTGCTCGAACCATGTAGAAATAATTGGCATTGGAGGAGGAGGCGGCCAAGACCTGTTTTGCATTCATTTCATAATACCATATAATTATAATGGTGTATTTGTACAACTGTAATATGTAAATTTGGTTTCATGTATCCCATTCATGAGTATATCAGGTATGCTTTACTGGTATGCTTCTGCAGAGTAGTGAAAAGGGGTTGTTTGTAGTAGACAGATGCCATCTGGTCCTAATGAGATTACTTATAGAATCAAAGAAAAATACATAGTGTTTTTCTACACTAACAAGACAAAGAAAGAACGTAAACAATTATTGATGAATGCTTTCATATACGACAAATTGGCCTGAAATAAATTGTTCCTTTAGTTAAATAACATGATTTTCTATATAATGAAAGCATTTTCTCCCATAACTGTCAAAATGTGTTGAATTCCTGTGGTGTGATTTGCATGATCTTGTAAGAACTTCTCATCATCCTGAGAGAGACTGAAAAAATGAGTTGCATATAGTGCCTGAAATTCTAGCTATACCAAAATTAATAGCAAAACTCCCACTGACCTAATTGGAGACAGGAATTCATCCCGCATCTTTACAACTAAGAGTGAAACATATCTTTGAGGATTTCATAGTGGATACACAAGCAGGACAAACAATATATATAGACAATATACAGTGAATAGCTCCCATGGTTTTAATTGAATTCTAACAAAATTGATGGAAACAACTGTTATTAGATATTTCCTTTATTGTTTTTTCTCATCTGAGCATTCAGATGCTATAACTGCAATGCCTGTTTTTAATGCAGTTCATGGTGAATATTGATTTTTTTTATCATGAATGGAAATACACAATGAGTGAGTCAGGAATATCAAGTTCTAATAATAAATGAGTTTCCCTATGAATGGGCTGGAAAACCAAAAAGTGAAAATCTTAAAACTTGTCATCCATGCTATTGCTGGCCTCAAAGTCACTGTTACAGTTACTTTTATTTTCTTTAAAATAATTAAAATGTTCATCCTATTTTCTTGTGACCTTTATAGGAAACATATCTCAAGTTTTCCCCATACAATATGGGGGAACTTTGATTAAGCTTGTACAACTTATTTGAAAAGAATTCTTGTACAAAGTACTGCCAAGTAGTAAAAGAACACCTGAAGCCCTTAGCTTGAATACATTGAGTATGCTTAAGGTTATATAAGTGTAGAAGTATTTATGGGATCCAGGCTTTAGCAAGTACCATACAGTGGGAAAGTAAAGGAATCATTAAGATCATCTCTGGGCCAAAAACAAACACAAAAAACTGCTGTGAGCAGAAGTAAATAATCAGATACATAAAATATTAATAATCTTTAATCAAAAAGTAAATTAGGGGTGTCCTGAAAAAAATAGCTAAAAACCATTGAATCTCTTAGCCAAGGTGAAAGGTACTTGTGTTACACCAATTGTGGTAAAGCTACAATTTTAAGGAATTCAGCAACTGTGTACTGTTGAACAGAGCATTTCACTGAAACAGTATCTGTTAACTTTCTATTTACATTTTTTTAAGTGTAATTTACTTTCTCTGCCACGTGTAGGGATCTAACCATGAACATCACATGCTCCTGAAGGCTGGTGGGGGGCCCAGCCACCTCCCATAGGTGGTGGGGATGTGGCAGCGGTGAGCTCCTGCAGGTAGCCATGGTGGTGTTGACCACGGGGGGCAGGGGAGCTAGTGCTGACCAGCAGTCAGTGACCTCCCTCAGATGCCTCTGGCAGCGACCACAGTGGCCAGTGGCATCTGAGGACTGCCCAAAGACACCGGTGGCAGTGTCGGTGGTGACGGGGGGGGGGGGGGAGGGTTGATGAGGGGCAACCACCTATAGGCACCACCACCAGCATTGGTGATACTTTTTGCAGGGGGTGCATCGCCAAGCTCAGGGGGTGTATGTGCACCTGCGTGCACCCTCTACACATCACCAATGGAGCTACCTAAATTGTGCTGGAAATGTACTTCTCAGTGGCTCCTTTAATTTTGCTCTTTTTGCTGTGTCCTTTGTCCACTGACAGTAATGCCAACTGTCACGAAACCATCACGAGACTCGGGATTTCAAAGTCAAAATAACTCCGACTTGCAATCTCCAGATTCAACCCTCAGATCTCCAAATTTTCCTAGTTGGTAAGTGGAGTGAAAGGAATGGGGGAGAGGGAAGAGGTCAGGGGTAGATTGAGACCCCAACAGTGAGGTAGGGAGTAGGGTAGGGGCAGGAGTGAATGGGGCCCTGGAGCTGGGTGAGTCATCCAGAGGTGCTGGGGAAGGGCACAGCTCCTCGCAGCAGCGCACACCATTGCGGGAGGCATGGCCTGAATGGGGGCCTGTGTCCCCCACAGGGCAGAGGCAAGCTGCCTGCTGTGGGCTGGGGCTCTGCACCTGCTGCTTTGCACCAGGAACTCAGCCACATGATGCCATTGCTGCCCACTGGGCAGGCAGGGAACGTGGGATGTGTTAGTCATGCAACACATCTCCTGCCCGCCGGGTGGCAGGAGGCACCCTGGGGTCACATGGCTGAGCTCCAGGCATGGGGAACACATGCCCCCCATGTCTCCCTAGGGATGTGCGTTGCTGCAGGGAGCTGCACCCATTCCCCGTGCCTCTGGACAACCTGCTTGGGCCCCTGGGCCCCATTCACCCCTGGCCCTGCTTCTGCCCCACTCCCTCCCTCACCATGGGAGCCTCGATCTCCCCCCCTGCTGCTTCCCTCTCCCCGTCTGCCCCTTTCCCTCCACTTACCAGCTGGGTGCTGTCTGTGTCTGTCAGTGTCTGTGTGTGTGTCTCTGTCTGTTTGCTCCTCACTCCCAAGCCACAGCCTGCCCGGCCCTGCTGCTGCTTCTTACTCCTGACCCACAGTACCCTGCATCCTGCCAGGGCATGTGGGACCCTCCCTCCCTGAGCTCCAACCCCCCCCCACACACACACACACACACCCCCATGGCCCCCAACACCTTCACAAATAACTCCACACACCCACTTCAAAAATATCATCTCATGATTGACATGCCAATCTCTTGATTTTTTTTTAAGAGTTTGTCTCATGAATTTTGGCACGGTGGGGTTGGCTATACTGCACTGCTGATTGGCTGAGAGGCCCTGGTGGCCCCAGCGCTCATCGCTGTTCAGTTTTGCGGCCAATTAAGATCAAGCCATGAGAGGCGGGGCTGCCAACCACAGTGCAAAGTGTACTTCCGATACGATTTAGGTACATCCCTACCCATGTGTTAATTATATTTTCTTTTCATTCCCGAATCCACTGTATCTTGTCTTTTCTCTCTCCATAGTGGTATTTTTTTTTCTAAGTTGTCTTCAGCCAAAGTTGTCCTTCCTGTCTCTCAACTTCCTTCCTCTTTGTTTTCAAAGTATTTTTATCTCATTTTTTTACTATGATTGTACTAGCACTAGAGTGTTCCAGCTATAGTACTATCACAGAGGAAGGAACTATCCACATTCTGAGAAAATGGCACCAAGGGCCTTGTGACACTTTATACTGTGAGCAACACAAATGTTG